TACAGAGTTTACTGCAGCATGCTTGCAATGCTGCGCCAAACCTACTCTGTTTGGTCTGTTTTTCCACAACGATTTTACATTTTTACTCTGACATCAGAAGAACAACCGGCTCGTGTCACTGCATGGGTACACTGAGTGGATGCTTTCAGGGTGATTCAGTTCCAAAAGGTTTTTCAGTGTTTGTAACACTAATCGAGTCAAACAGCAGCAGATGTTTAACCTGAGCTTGCACCTAAAATAAGGAATCGGCAATTTGTCTCAAGAGGCTCAAGCACATCACAAATGACAAAAGACAACAGGATGGTGAACATGTGTAACATATAGTGGACGGTCAGTCACCGTCTTTATCATTATTAGCACATTCTGCCATATTTACTTAACAGGCGTCTACATCCATTCAAAGTGGATGAGCAGTTTTTAGGAACAACAAAGACCCATCATGTGTTTGCAGTACAAACAGGCAGGATGGCTCAGCGGGTGGTGTTTGCACCTCGTGTCTGCATGTCGATGCATCGTTGCAGCAAATGTTGGGTTAAAGGTGCTGAAGAGTTTACAGGTACCAGTCGATTTAAGTGCATCCTTTGTAGTTCATCATACATGAAAAGCGCAGCTATGCAGGCCAACTGTAAGCCTTAAGCCAAATTGTGTGTTTGCTGCCCCAAATGTTTTTGCACTTGGGCCCAGATCTTGCGGACGCATGTTTTCGAAGCCTAAATCCTTGCGCGTGTGTGTGTGTTTGACTCTGTTTGGGGCTAAAATGTCCAGCTCAGGCTATCTGCTGCTAATCCCTCTGAATACAGACTGATTAGGCTAAGACTGCTGTCATCCCAGTAAGCAGAGTGTGTGCATTTTGTTCTGTGTCCTTAACGGTCAGCAAAGGGGGAATTTGCTTTGTTACAAGAGGATTAATTTGGCTTGCTGTCACTAGCAACTTGGAAAAGTGCCCAGTCTCCTAACGAGAGGGTTTCCTATTAAATATTAAGCAACGTGCCATAAATATACCACGGCAGGAGGCTTTAGTACGGCCTCTTACATGGAAGGAAACAACTTATTGTACACTTTGATGGAGCCGCAGCCATGAGGCAAAGCAGTGCTGACACACTATATCAGTGCACCTGCTCACGCAGACAGCGTTGCACTGTGAGCAGCAAAAACACAGCGTGGAAAGAAGAGCTCTGCTTATATTACAAAATGGACGCTGTGTTAATTCTCAAAATAGGAACAGGAAATGTGGCGTTTGGCCTCGGCGAGGGGGATTCAGCCACAGAGCCACGTCACGACATCTTCTCAAAACTACACGTTCCCCTGTCGAGCGAGGCAGTCGTAAACACACACACAGGGCTGTGCTTAAAATGTGAATAAAGGTTGCAGGTGATACTCTTCTCTCTCCACGGCGTCCTCCGCCTGTGCTCTGCAGCTGAAAGAAGCTTCATAAATCACGAAAATTGTCAGTGTCTGGCCTCCACTTCAACACAGGATTAAGAAGAACTATGTCAACATGTCTCACACTAAGACACACACAAGCAGGAGCAGCGAGGAGACGGGGGAGGGAGGGCAGCGAGCTCTTGGAGCGAGCTGACCCTCGCTGCTTCCGACACCTCGTCTCATCTTAGCATTCCGAACGCCGCTCGCACAGGGCAAACGCAAAGTCCCGATAATAACCTTCATTTGGTAATTGGTATGCAGAGGTCTGAAAAATGAATTACTGATCAGCGAGCTGTTACCACGGTGATAACGTGAACGGCAGGCCTAAGGAGAAATTCATCTCGGCAGGGGGGGAGATGGGAATGCGGCGGGGGTGGAGGAGGGGTTGAAAATTGGATAAGCGCCTCGACTCGATCTGCTCCGAGTGCGCGACATTGGCCGTATTGATAAAATGGAGCAGGACTGGAAACGTGGACGAGTGGTCCCAGAGGGTCTGAATCCACAGCTGATGGACTCGTCACAGCAAACGAGCTCCTGCTCAGCCGTCTCGCCTCGGAGAATTCAAACCTCACAACTGAACCCACATTTGCCCTGTTTTCTTAAACTCATAATATAATATATTAATACTGGTGCTAAGTACTAAGCTCAGTCAACTTTCTCCTTCCAAACATCTTTTACAGGTTCATGTGGTTTCTTCACAGTCATGTCAGGAGTTTACACAGTGAATCACAAACAGGCTGTCATTCGATACTAGAGGTGGGAATCACCAAACATCCCACGATACGATATTATCACGATATTTAACTCACGATACGATATTATTGCAATTTTTAAAATATTTTGCGATATTCAGATTCTGTACATAAAGGTAAATGTTATCAATATTCATTTTATCTAATAACAAAGTCTCACACTCAGTCTTTCTCTCATCTCAGTCAGTTTTATTGTTGACAAACTGAACGGTTTGTATTACAGTCTAGTCCAACTGAACTGAATGCAACCATCTGGTACAATTATAGCTATTCTGAACTATGCAATATGAAAACTATGCAGCCCCTTCAGCAACTGAAGAATTTGGAAGTAAATTAAAACAAAATATAATTTTACATTAAATAAAAAAGTTTTAAACTTAATTAAAATAAAACATGTCTTAAATTAAAATAAGTAAACTGTCGTGTTTATTGCTGCAAAAAAACAAGTTAAACACATTTGGACAGTGAAGGAATGTCAGGATTGTTGCTCAGAAAAAGGATCAACGTGCTCTGAAGTCAGAGCACAAAAACCTTTTTTGTAACAAAATATCGATTTGTGCTGTCCCTGCATCGATACATTATTAGCAAACTAAATATCACGATGCTACACAGTATCGATTTTTTTCCCCACCCCTATTCGATACATAATTAAACTTTGGAAATTTAAATATTAAATATTTAAATTAACATTTGTAATGTTAAAATTGTATCTATGTTATCAGTTTGTGAAATAAAAAACAACTATTTTATAAATTATTTTAACATGCGTGGACTGTGTCATAACGAGCTGCTAACACACTATAATGATGTTATTATCATTTTATATAAAAGCTTTTATTGCTGGTCAAATACTTCAGATACTGCTGGGATCTCAGGAACACCTCATCTCCTTGGTGGTGGGTGCTGTGATGGGAGGGGGGCAGCAATAACAACACACGGTAACCAAATGGTTTTAGTGCCAAACATCCGAGCAGGCAGAGAGCACATCCAGCTGTAAGACAATAAACTGCAGACTCAAGTCTTCTCCCTCTGCTCGTCTCTCATCTGCTTTATAGTTTTTTATAATTACACCAAAATAATGTTTATGGATCACTAAAAAGTCGCTTTTTCACATTTCCCCAGGAGGAGTTTGCAAAACTACAACGCCTGGAAATGTGAACCTCTTGATGTTAGATATGTGTGTAAAATCTCATGCATGTACATCATACCCAGCCCGGGCCTATATTGTTTCATTCTTCTAGGTGGCGCTATTGAGCCATTTTGCCCCGCCCATGTCTGAAGACATGAACATATGTACATTTTCACCAGACCCGATGCATGTGCAAAACTTTTGAGTTTTTGAGCATCTTTAGGCCCTCAAAAATGCCAATACATTTGCCACAATAATAATAATAATAATAATAATAATAATAATAATAATAATAATAATACGGTGGTATTGCATTGGGCCCTAATAAAAAAAATCCAGATGATATTCATGGATGAATTCCAGATGAATGATGAACTCATTAACTCACATATTTAGAAATAAAGTCGTTTATGCAGAGCTACCCAGCAAACATGTGATGTGTTCTTATTTAAAATAAATGCCACTATGACTTCATATGTATTTCACATGTATTGCATTTCAGTGATAGTTTAATACTCGAGCTTCTTCTCGGCTCCACGTTTGGCGGAGGTAAAGACTCTCCAATAACCAACAAAGACTTGAAGCATTTTAACTTTCGATCCATTTCCACCACTTAAAGCCCCCCCCCCCCTGTTTTTTCTTCTTGTGCTAAATTTTGCACAAAGTTATTCCTCCTCTTGTTTCATTAAAGGATCTTTCACCACCGTCAGACACTGAGGACTGAATGTCTTTGGGCTTTTTTGGCTGCTGGTCAGACAGAATCAGCTATTTCTGTTCAAATGTGACTCATTATTCTTGGCGTGTTAGAAAGGGGATAATTACACAATTAAGAACTCGTTCATTTCATCCTAGAATAGTTTAACAGACCAATTCTGACTGTGTGTAAACCGCAGCAGTGATAATAAACAGGACAGCAGTCAAGGAAGCTCGTTGAATGTTAAACAGAGTCTGCATTTCTGATTGGACTATATCACAGCCATGGTTACACACACACACACACTCATAAGTGTATATTCACGTGACTGTAACGCTGCACTCAGATACCTCGAAAATGATATCGGCTCTGATCTGAGCAGCAGTTTTTCCTCCACACTCGATCCAAACGTAACCAGTTTGTCTCCAATGCTACAAAATCCTGTTTGAGTTAAACGGCTCTTTCAGCCGGTTCACGTGTTCATTACAGGTGACGTCTGGTCTCTTTACATCCTTGATGAGGAAAAACGGAGCGGCCTTTGATCAGAGAACAACAGAGCTGAGTGCCTGAAGCAGCAGAAAATGTTGGCATGACAAAGCAGCTAACCACAGGAAGAAGAACACAAATCACCGTGTCAACAAAAAATACAACAACGGCTACGCTTCAAAAAAAAAGAAAAGGATATGAGAATAATGATGAACACTGGGCCTGGCTCCAGCCTCCAGCAGGTGAAGATATAGTATTTTATGAGGTAAATGAAATCAGTCGTGTCCTATAACTCTGACTGCACAGAAAGAAAGGAAGGATGAAAGAGAAAAAGGTGATGCATTCATGAAGTCTGTGAGAGCCAAGAGGAAAGCTAACACGTGGATTTATTAAACACTGATGCAGCCTCACTACTGACAAACCACTGACAAACCACTAGAATGATGGCGCTCTAAGCCGTGCTATCAATTATCCTAATCAAACAACGACTAAATGCACAGCAAATAATCTGGGTAAAGGCATTAAGCTTTGCAACAAAGTAACTCATGCTATCTGCCGCACCAAGGGTATGCAAAGGGTATGGGACGCTGTTTCACAGCTGGACGTGCTGGACCATCCAGAGTAGGGACTGTATGGGTAGGCTAACATGTGATGCTAGCATGGTCTAACAAACAGCAACAGCAGCTTAAGCTAAGCGTGATCTGTTAAATCACAGACATGCTTCATTGTTTCAGCTGATAATCAGCACACATGTGGAGCGTACATGAACATAAATTAGCATGAATTAAGTTCTAAGCAAAGCAAGTTGGAGAAATCTGAACAGAGGCCCCGGGTCACTGTGTGCTGGTCCAGTTTATTTAAATGAACAACAAATTGTGTTAATCTCCACTAACTCACCAACTCTGAGCACGCAGCACGGTTTATATAATCATGCAATCTGAGCTCAGGAAGTCTTTATTTATTCTTGTTTGTCTGTTTCTTGAAACAGTCGTGAAATGTAAGAACATCTCCTGTCAGTAAAACACATCAGAGAGTGTGCACATGCTAATAAAGTCAAAGTAGTACACCTCCATGCACATAAAGCAGATTAGAAGGAAAAATAAAGACGGTGCAGCAGGGTATCTGTGTAAAGTCAGGCCGTGCTGGCAGAGACGGGTCCGGCTCTGCGTGCCTCTGTCACTGAGCTCCATGTAAACCAGGCCTACTGGGGTGACACTGGAAGTGGCAGGCAAATTCCATTTGGCACGATGGGGGCGCCTGCTGTGGCTGACCAGACATGATGACAGACCTCATCCACAGTGGGCACCAAATAAAGAGCTAAACCTAGCTTTTATACATCAGCAGGGTCCTCTTGTAAGGCAGGGAAGAATTAAATGAGAAAAACAGCCCGTGCATGGAAGGGAGGAAAAAACAAGCAGGGGGGGGCGTGCAGTTAGAGAGTAACAGCATGAATAAGTGCATTAATTAATCTAATGAACGGATGAATTGCACGGTTTGTTTGCTACAGCCACAACCTATTTGGTCGGCTTCCCAGCACTCCAGTGCGAGCCCAGCCTCATTAACAAGCCCATCACACCTCGTCAAGTGGTCTGCAGCACCGAGTGACCGCGCTCACAGGGAGCAGGATCCTCATTAACGCCGCCACATATTTACAAACAGCAGTGGAAGCCTCACTCAAGACATTCAATCACCACACGGCAAACATCACAGTAACAAATATTATGTGTCGGCTTTAGGAGCGAGCACTTGGATGCGGCTCACAGGGAAAGGTTTGATTCTGGTGCAAGAGTTTAAGCGATAATCCCACGCAGGCACAACACAACAGCTAAAAGACCTCAGACGCCGACTCTGGCTGTGGATGATGATGACCTTTAGAAATAAGCTTTCATTTTTCCAGCCCTGCACAATGTGCTGCCAGATTTCAACAGTGGAGAGACGAGCAGCTTCTGGACCACAATGCTAATCAGCAGATCCTCCTCAGATCTATAGATGCCGAGGGGCAGAGAGAAGACAAAGAGTTCATACAAAGCCAGCACTTACCAGACGAATGGCCTCGATTGGTGGCGTCGTGGTCGCTGTCTCCCTGCTCGCTGTCTCCGTGGCCACTGTCTTTGGAGCTGACCAGGTCGGCCTCCTGGAAGGCTGAACTGAAACGAAGAGAACATTAAAATAAAGCCTATGAAAGACGACCTCGCTTTGTTTTTCTTAATCCATGTCAGCATCACAGTAATGGGAGATATCAGCAAATGAGCTAGAAGCAGACCAGCTGGTAGAAGAGCAGGTAGAAGGGCTTTTTCCATATTTACCTGTTGACGCGTCGCGGCCTGTCGACCAAGTAGCTGAGTTCAGCTCGCTGGTGTTTGGTCTGAAAGAGAAGGGGCAGCTTTTAGTGCGTCTCCTTATGTAGAGAGAACAAAGCAGCAGAAAAACAAAAGAACATTACATCCATCGAGCCAGAGACGACACAACCCACACAGCTTTGAGTTGACGTAACTATTACATGTGTCATTCATCTCCACCAGTGGAGACTTCCATCCCACAGGGAGGGGAAGCTCTGCAGACATGTTGCCAAGGTGCAAGGTGAAGTAGCGCACCTATGTAGGCTGCAGCAGCCCAGAGATGCAACATTTTGAACAGTATATATTTAATCCTGGGTGACTGGGCTTCACGCACACATATACACCCATTATACTCCCACACCCACCAGCAGCCTCTTTGCCAACATACATTGTCTTTATACACCTTTTCTAATTTATCAGCCGTGGAAGCACATCATAAACATGCAGTCGTTGCTGTTTAAGGATCGCAAAAGTCAAGGTTTCTCATTTCCATATCTGCTTTCATTTTCTATCACATTGTGTTACAGTTGATGTATCGGCACTCAGTAACACCCATCTGAGGAGCTAGCATGCCAGTGAAGTGAAATTTGGGGGATGAAATGGCTCCTGAATGTCTCTGGTTTATATTTCATTCTTATCAGACGTCTAAGGGGACATGAATCAGGTTTAGGCATGCGGAGGAACTCAGATGGAAAGGTTTAAACCGCAGGCAGGAGAGGGGCTCTTACCTCATTTGATAAAATGCTGCCGTTTGATATGATGTCAGGCTGCTGGTCTGTGTACCCTGTCACTATGGCCCCACACGGGTTGTGATCGGTGTCTGTGCTCCTAGAAGGACTACATGGCTTTAGGAACATGAGGTCAGTTTTGGCAGACTCTGGAGTGAGACATACCTGGTAGCAATAGTTCTGGTTTTGGTGGTGGGAGCCAAAGCTCCCAGATTCCTCCACAGGGACTTGAGCTGTGCCAGCCCCGCTGACGTTAACGGCACTTTGCACCAGCATGATATCCGACTTGCTGAGCTTTTTCTTGCGGGCCCTGCCCTGCCGCGAGCAGCAGGAGCTGCAGCCAAAACAGCAGTCACTGGTCAGGCAAGTATAGATGTTAAGCTTTTTGTCCTTCTGACAGCGCACAGCCAGCACAATCATAACCAGGAGGAAGATGAAGGAGACGGCGCCCAGGGCAATGATAAGGATGAGAGTGAGGTCCAGGGTGCTGTCCTTTGCCTTGGAGGTCCCGCCTTTCTCCCCGCCGCCACGGCCTTCAGCCACACTGTCCACCAGCACCACCAGCACGCTGGCGCTAGAGGACAGAGGCGGCTGGCCGTGGTCTCGCACCTCAATCAACAGGTCGTACTGCTGATGGGGGTCTCGCTTGACCGATACCCGCCTCGCAGTCCTGAGTTCACCTGTTCTCCAGTCCATCCTGAACATGCCATTCTCGTTTCCCCTCTGGATGCTGTAGGACAGACGAGCGTTCTCTCCATCATCCGCATCCATGGCCACGACACGTGTCACCAGATAGCCTGGCTCAGCAGAGCGAGGCAGGGGCTCCTTGGCTGTGCCGTTCTTTCCCAGGGGAGCCAGCACTAGCGGGGCGTTGTCATTCTGGTCCACAATGATGACTTTAACAGTGGCATTGGAGGAGAGCTCTGGGGTCCCTGCGTCTTTGGCCTTGACCATGAACGTGAACTCCTTCAGCTGCTCATAATCGAATGATCTGAGAGCATAGAGATAGCCTGTCTCCTCGTTGATTGACACGTAGGTTTTGACTGACATGCCCTGGATGTCACACTCTAATATGGAGTAGCTGATGACAGCATTCTGCCCAATGTCCGGGTCCAGGGCCGTCACCGCGTGTATGTACGCCCCTGGCACGTTGTTTTCTGTCACGTACACGTCATATAAGGGCTGTGTGAACGTGGGCGCGTTGTCGTTTTCGTCTGACACCTGCACTCGAATGGATTTACTGGTGGCCAGTGACGGCGTTCCTTTATCGCGCGCGACCACAGTGACGGAGTAGGAGTCCGCCTGCTCGCGGTTCAGCGGCCCGTCGGTGACTATAGTGAAGTAATTTTTAAAGGAAGATTTCAGTTTAAACGGGACGTCGCCGAGGATCTCCACGTGGACCTGTCCGTTCTCCTCTGCGTCCCGATCCGTGACGCTCAGCAGCGCGATCACGGTCCCGGGAGCCGCGTTCTCGCTCACCGACTCCGTGACAGTGCTGAAAGTAATTTCCGGTGCGTTGTCGTTCACGTCGCTGAGTTTGACGAGGACTTTACAGTGCGCGGGCACGGCGTTTGGTCCCAGATCTTTGGCCTGAACAAAGATTTGATAGAGGCTGCTCTCCTCGAAATCCACCTCTCCGCGCACCTCGATGCGCCCGGTGCGTGAATCTATAGAGAACAGGTCTTTGACGCGGCTGGAGATGTGGTTGCTGAATGAATAAACGATTTCTCCATTCAGTCCCTCGTCCAGGTCGGTGGCGTTCAGCTGTATGACGAGCGTGCCCAGCGGCGCGTTCTCCGACAGGCTCACCGTGTACACCGGCTGCTCAAACACGGGCACGTTGTCGTTAGAGTCCAACACTTTGACGACCAGCAGCGCGGTGCCAGTCCGCGGAGGCTGACCGCCGTCCACGGCGGTTAGCACGTACCTGTGCGCCGTCTGCTGCTCCCGGTCCAGCGGCTTCTCCAACACAAGCTCGGCGAACTTGTTCCCGTCCGTCTGGGTCTGCACGTCCAGGTAAAAGAAGTTGTTCGTGGTGATATCGTACGTGCGTAAAGCGTTGGAGCCAACGTCCGGGTCGAACGCGCTCTCCAAGGGGAAGCGGGTGCCCGGAGTGGCGCTCTCTGAGATCTCCACCGTGATATCGGTCTCCGGGAAACTGGGTGGGTTGTCGTTAATGTCCACCACTTCGATTTCAACCCGGAATAGTTCTAATGGGTTCTCCAAGAACACCTCCATGTTTAGCTGACAGCTCGCACTCTGCTTGCAAATCTGCTCCCGGTCGATTTTCTCGTTAACGAACAGGACCCCGTTCTCCAGGTTCACCTCCAGATAGGGTGTCCGAGAGTTGGGCACCACTTGGAAGCGCCGGGAGGCTAGCTTGGTGAGGTCCAGACCCAGGTCCTCGGCAATATTTCCCACCAGTGTGCCATGGTCCGCCTCCTCCGGGACAGAGTAGCGTATCTGACAGAGCACTCCATCCGCGATGCACAGGACAAGCAAAAGCACAATCATCGCCGTGAAAACAAGTGCACTTGGGTAAAAATATCATATATGTTAGTGAAAAAATGTCAGTTTACAACACCCATTACAGTAAATGCGTAAAGTCTCCAAAATGCGTAAAGTCTCTGTAAATGTACAAGAGGTCCGGAAAACTCCGTGGGATTAAAAAAAGGCGCATTTCATTTCTGACAGGAATCCAAAGGACTCGATGATATTTTTCACTTTTAAAAACTGGCTCTGTTACTTTCGCACATGCGTCCAGGTGAAGCCCCAGCGCACATTCCAGTAAAGCGCAGAATCTCAGACAGCTGAAAGTTGGAAACATAAATTATAATCCACAGGAAAAACATACGACTCTGTCTTCAGTGATGAAATCTACTGCAGACTCTGGCTGTCTTTTTCCTCTCGGCGTCCTGTTCCTCACTGCAGCCGCCTCCACTCCACTCTCCACTGATGCTCTTCACTCAACTGTTTGCTTTTTTCCCTGAGTCGCGCCTCCCCTCTCAGCCCCCGCAGCTGTAAATCACGCGGAAAGCTCTCTCCTGATTGGCTGTTGGGGTTGCTCGTCCGCTCGGCCTTCGTCTCCCTCACTGCTTCTCTGTATCTCTCTACCTCCCTCTGAGCGCAGACTGACTTCTCTTAAGGATACCTGCCTGCAGGCAAAGAGAAAAGGGGACAGGAGCGAGAAGGAATTTATTTCTCAAGTGCGTAATGCCCTTCCCAACTCGTCGTTATAAAGTGCACCACTAATGAACCAGGGTGTGATTAGAGTGGAGCACTTGTTGACTTGGTGGCAGAGCCTGTGTGAGCCCGAGGACACGCTGGGCGAGCCAGGTTAATGCATGCAAATGTTGTGATATGCATGTATTCAGCATTCACGTGCTGCTCTCAGGGCTGTGCGATATAATTACAGCCAACGGTAGAAGCGTTACATCTCTGTTCCAACCACACAGCAGTGGAACAGAGAGGCAGGGGGAGTAGCACATCCGCGGAGCGCATACGACCCCTGCCGGAGTAAATGCAAACCAGGGTCTGAATCACGGCCAGCACTTCAGTGTAATACAAATAGTTATTGTCACATGCATACTCTGATTTTATGCGTGGACCAATGAACGTGGCGAGAGTAAAAGGTAAAAGTAGAAGATGGTATGATTATCTTTTACTGTGAGAGTAGAAAACGCGCAGATGCGCTGTCATTCAAACATAAGTGCGGTGAGCAGGCTAATCGATCCGCTAAACAACTTCTGTATGTGTCAAAGGCCTGGGCGGCGAGGTTTCGGGGGTCCGTGCCGGCTCAGTGAAGTCTCTGTGCTGTGTGGGCTGAACTCTCGTGATACACTTAATTCATACGCTTCAGTAAAAACACGCATATCACTGACAGGTTATTGCAGTACGAGCTCCACTTAATCATTCAGTTCACAGCAGTTTGGTGCGTTTGCAGAAATCGCAGATGGGCCCCTGAAACTAAAAAGAGGTCACGCATCAGCTTTTGACCTTCTTGAAAAGTGCAAAACAAAGAGAAATGTGTTGAGGACACTGTGAGCTCACAATGAGGAGGTCATTGATCCACTTTGCTCCTGATTTGTGTCTGCAGTCTAACAGAGATATTTGTGCTTTTCCTTTTTTAGCGCAGTAACAAAATGACGTGATGTTGGTCCTCAGGTACTGGTGACACGAACACTGGAGTCAGCTGCAGCTCGGTCTGTATGTTGTGGTCACTCGGGGTTTCTGTGTCCACCATGGACGTTAGGGAAGATCACATGTCACGTTCACAGAATAAACAAACAAACAAAAGGACGGCTAATAAGAAGAGCAGGATGCAGTAGATATCTCAGCATGTTTCATCTACAGGACACCTGTCAGTACTTTACTCTGGTTACTCAGTAACACAGAGTCAGACTGCTTTGACGACTGAATGCAACACATTTTAGAAAATCTACGTTCTATTAACAGAAATCCAGAAAGGTTGAACTTTGGTATTTGCATTGTTATTTCAAGCAGGCAATTTTAGTCCGTTTAAACATAACAAGCTCAAAATCAAGGATCTGTACCAGAAGTGACTATTTCCTGATTTTTAATATAGATTATAGAGTAAATGTAGTTTTATGTGTATAATGAAATGTTACTTTGTGATTTGTATTTTCCCCTCTGGTTGTTTTATAGATTTAGTTTGACGTCAGCTGTTGGAGAATGAATTGCATGAAGGAACCGAGACATTAATGTGCAAAAGTCTCAATTCTTCATATTTTGCAGGGAAAGTAGCAAATAGCCGCAGCACTTTATCGAAGCGTGTAAATATATATGGAAATGCAGTATGTTCTTCTTCTTTTGGCTGCTCCCTCTAGAGGTCACCACAGTGGATGGTCTGCTTCCATCCTCAGCATCCTCCTCCCTCACACCAATCCTCTGCTTGCCCTCCTTCACTGCATCCTACCAACCTTTATACTCGACGTTTGTCTCTAAGGGTTTGACCTGAGCGTCTCTCTGATATACTCCTTCCTGTCCAAGGACAGACATTGACCACAGCCCATCAGAAAGCCTGCAAAACTAGTGAGCAAGAAAACTTTAGACAATGAAAAAAGATGGGAGGCTTTTTTCACAAAAACAAAAATACATACAACACAGTTGAATTATGACCTCATCACTTTGACCTTTGACCTTAGCTTAAACAGCCGCTCTGTGCCTACAGCTGAGTGGGGAGAGGAGCTGCTCTGAGACCTAGTGCTCCCCCTAGTGAACCACTACACAACACACACTGCTGCTTCCAACACACAGCCCTCTCCCCTCGCTGCACAAACTCTGAACTCGAAAATCTCCACAAACTCACACGAGTGACAGACAGTGAGGGAAACAGACGCACAAGTGCATGATTCACATTGTCTGCAGACTGTCAGAGCAGCACAAGAAACATGAATCGTTTCAAGGAACATATTTTCTAAATCTAGTCAGTGCTGCGGTCAGATATGGATCACCATCAAGATAGTGAGCTAAGTGACAGAGTAGGGCTGGGAGAAGTGGACACGCACACGCTCAGCACTAATACAGGGAGCGTTTTCACAAATGTGATCACAGCTCGTTCGTCACGTCCATGCAAAGCAAACATTTTATCACCGTGTGTCGAGATTTTACACGATTGTAACAATTTATGTTTTCATTTTACAGCTAAAAGTACAGCACGTTTGATAAAGTAATGCTCTTCTCAAACATCCAGGAAGCTTAGAGAAAAGAAGAGAGTGGCCTAAAGCAATCTCACCCATCAGATAATTAGAGCAGGAGAAGCAGCTCGTAATCATTAAGTGTGATAAAGCTACAGGGACTTTTCACCGTCACCTTGCTGCGTGCCACACACTTCATTTTTCCATCACTTTGCTTCTTTTTTTTGTTTTTTAAAGGACCTACATCGTGCACTCAGGCCCAGCAGTGCATACTCTCTTATATAGAATACATTTTTGGAGCAGTGTACAAACACTCTGTACTTTTCAAGACACAACAAGGTTCTTTTTTTCCTAAATACTGTTTAATGTGCAGCCATTCTTGTAACAAAGATTACAACATAAAATGACTCGCTGCCCCGCGGTGGTGGCTGTAGCTCAGGAGGTCGTGCAGGTCACCTGCTAACTGGCAGGTTGATGGTTTGATACCTGGCTGCTCCAGCCTGCGTGCCAAATATCCTCGGGCAAGACACTAACGCCAAGCTGCTCTCTGATGTGACCGTCACAGTGTTTAATGAATGAAAGGAGGTAAAGTGTTTTGAGGGCTCAGAGTAGAAAAACACTGTATAAGAACCAGTCCATTTATCATTTACTTAACTGCTAGTTAAGATAAAACTTGGTCTAACCCACCTGCCTCTGGATCTGAACGAGCACGATCAGGTAAAAGTCTTTCGAGTGGTGTCTTTACATGAAGCGTTTTCAGCGGTTAAAGGACCGTCAGCATGTCTATGGTAAAAACTGGAGACAGACACACAACACTGTATGAAAAGCTCGTTTCCCATGTCAGACAGGGGCTGTTGGTGTTTGTTCTCACTTTATGAAGCCGACGATCCAACATTTACAGACCAGAGAGGAGCCACTCATTTCACTTCTCTTTCTCAGTCCTTTTCTTTCTTAGCTATTTAATATAAATATATATATATATTGCACATTTAGCACAATATTACAGTGACCTAAATCTAATGCTCATGTCGTCAGCACCACTGCATCTCCTCTGAATGTGTCTTCTAGGCTTTTTCTATCATAGACAAAGATGAAAGAAATGTAACAGATACATGACACGTCAGCAGGGCACCAGAGAGGAAAACATGAGGAGAACAACAATGCAATATGATGCCTTTTTTTCCAGATTGAGCTGCTCGGGGTGGCAGCATGTTGGAGTAGCTCTCTTACCGTTACTGTTGTTTAAAACTTTCATTCCTCCGTTTTTGGCTGAAGGATTGCATTTCTCTCTATTTTTTGGATCCTGTGCAGCTGGAAGGAATTTTGCTGATAATCTTTTTACTTTTGATCGTTTGTTATGATGCATAAGCATAACAACAAGGTGGCTTACAACTGGAGCTGATTAACACTGCAAAAGCTGAAATAATACCTCAGCTGAAGCCATAAATCCAAGATGACTTGAAAAGGAGTCATCGTGGATGCAGAGCCTATCATCGCCTATCAGTAGTGGGCAATGTGAGATCACTGGCTAGCAAGATGGATGAACTCCAAACCCTAATAAGGACTCAGCCGGAGTATCGGGAATCGTCTCTGCCAGGCTCCACGAGCAGACAGAGATTTGAAGAGCAGCAGAAAGGTGGATTAGCAGTGCTTGTCAACAACAGATGGTGTCATCCAGGACATGTTACTGTGAAGTGTCGTCTCTGCAGCACAGATACCGAACTTGGCAGTAAGTTTCCATCCATATTATTTACCAGTGTTATTTTGGCAACTGGTTACGTTCCACCTTCAGCCGTTACTGACGTTTGTCAGCTGCTCAACCAGAGAAAACAAGACTCTGGATTTGTTTTATGCAGTTGTCAAGGATTCATATATCTCTAAATCAAGACCTCCTCTGGGTAATCTTGATCACAGTCTTGTTTTTCTCTGCTCAGAATATAAACCCCTTGTTCAGAGGCAACCTGTGACGGAGAGATCTGTGAGAAAGTGGTCACAGGAAGCTGAATAAACCCTGCAGGGTTGTTTTGAGACTACAAACTGGATAGGTCTTTGCCAGGAACATGGAGAGGACATCAATGCCATGGCCGAGTGTGTGACTGACTATATAAACTCCTGTGTGGACAGCATCATCACCACTAGAGCAGGGAAATGCTTCCCTAATAACAAACCCTGGATCACCAGTGACCGAAGGGACTGATAGACAAGAAAATTCAATTTAATTGAACAAGAGCTTTCAGGGAGGGACGGGGAATTGTTGAGGAGTATTCAGATCCAACCTAAAGTCAA